TTATACTACATTTATCCATTTTAAATACACTAACCTCACTCCTTTGTAACAACTAAGACAAAAATGTAATTAGTTCAGAAAATCTTTTCAGGACCCCACCTTGATGTTTCAGGACCCCACCTTGATGTTTCGGGACCCCACTTTGGGAAACACTGTTTTATACAACACTGCTTGGTGGTCCTCAAAAATTTCACTACATTGTTAATTTGTTTTTTTTAATGTATGAAGAACGATCAGCTCATGAAACAAACAATAAACAAAATAAAATATATATTGTCATGATATTTAATGGTTGAAAAGACAATAAATGATCTTTTTAAAGAGCTCAGGGTTTATGAGGGGGCCCTGGGTTGTCAGGGGTCCCCAGACCCAGAAGGTTAGAGAGCCCCCCCTGCTGTAGAGGCTGGTTGTCTGTTGGAAAGCCCCGCCCCTCCGTGTGCCCCACCGGCGGCCAGGCAGCACCGCCCCCCCGCACCGAGCGGACCGTGGGTAACGGGAGAAGATGGCTGAGCGGCAGCAGCAGAAGCACGAAGGGAGGGTGAAAATCGGCCATTACATCCTCGGAGACACGCTCGGAGTGGGGACCTTCGGCAAAGTAAAGAGTTGAGTGGTGTTTTTGTGTCACGCACAGTGGAATGTGAGTGTTTGTGACCGTGGGTCGGACTGGGGAAGGTTAACGTCGCACCGTGTTTTACAGAAAGCAGTTTACGTAAGAGAACGGGTCAGAAGCGGAAACAACGTGAGTCTGAAGCGTAGCTGATCTTTGTGAATATMTGTCCTCAAAGTCAGATTGTTCCACAGAGGAATGGTTCACAGCTGCAGGTGGAGCAGCCTGAGGACAACAAACACACAACATCCCTCATTTCATCACTGTTTAATGTTTAACACTTCACTCTGCACAACCTGACAGGCTTCAGTTAGCTCCACAGATACGGTTAAATTTGACCGTAAACATTAATGTCTGGAGCAGTGCTAGCTTATTATATTTTAATTTACAAACCTTTATAAACATTCAGAATGTACCAGAACTATGAGGTGTTGTTTGTAAAGTTACAGTTAAATATTACCACCAATATTTTTATTTTATTTAACCTTTTACAAGAAAAAAAGAACAGATTTATTTTTAAAGTCAGTTTTTCACCATATGATTCATACATTTATAAATGTCATAGTTTATAAACTAAATATTTAAC